TGTGTGTGTGTGTGTGTGTCTGTGTGTGTCTGTCATGGGTGTGTGTGTGTGTGTCTGTCATGGGTGTGTCTGTGTCTATGTGTGTCTATGTGTGTGTCTGTGTCTGTGTCTGTCATGGGTGTGTCTCTGTGTGTGTCTCTGTGTGTGTCTCTGTGTGTGTCTGTGTGTGTGTGTGTGTGTGTGTGTCTGTGTGTCTGTGTGTCTGTGTGTGTGTCTGTCATGTGTGGTCACCGGCATCGGGCTGCACCATGGAACTGCTTCCCCCCCTGCGCTGGGCACTGCTGGGACCACACCTGGAGCCCTGTGTCCACTTCTGGACCCTCCATTCAGGAAGAACATTGAGGAGCGTGTCCGGGGAAGGGAACGGAGCTGGGGAAGGGGCTGGAGCACCAGGAGAGGCTGAGGGAGCTGGGAAAGGGGCTCAGCCTGGAGAAAAGGAGGCTCAGGGGGCCCTTCTGGCTCTGCACAGCTCCCTGACAGGAAGGGACAGCCGGGGGATCGGGCTCTGCTGCCAGGGAACAGGGACAGGAAATGGCCTAAAGCTGCACCAGAAGGGTTCAGGTTGGACATCCTTCCTTTTTTGCCCAGGGAGGCGGTGGAGTTGCTGTCCCTGATTTAAATAAGGTCTGGACGTGGCACCAGTCATGTTGACAAGGTGGTGTTTAGTCATAAGACTTGGGGATCTCAGAGGTCTCTTCCCAGCTGATGGATCCTGACTTCCAGTGCAGCCCCTGGGCACCTCTGTCCCCACATGGAACCCCTCACACTCTGAATGGAAATGCAGAAAAGACATTTTTTTTTCCAAAATATAACTTTATTATATATATGCATATATACACACACACCACACTCACTATAGAGAAGCTGAAAGAATGCAAAACAGGGATGGCCCACAAACTGTCTCAGGTCTGCACAGCATACAGGTTTCCAAAAACCCCCAGCAGTTCCTTACCTGCCACATTTCCACGTTTCACACCAAACCACAACCCAGAGCACACAGCACCGAGCGACATCGCAATCAAAGGAGTAAATAAAAATAAAGATGAAATATTTCTCAACTCAGTCCAGTGTCAAAAAAAAAAGCTTAAAAATCTAAATGTACAAATTCAGCCTTAAAATGGTTTAGTGCAAATATGAAAATTAACAGCATATTTTTAAGGTATTTAAATAAGCTTTAATATAACTCTAGTGCTTCACTCCTATACATGTTTTCCCACCAATAGATCCAACAGCACAGAGGCATTTCCTATTAAGGGCAGGACAAACCCAGAACCTGGGAAGAAACAGCATAAAGTCACTTGTTAAATCATTTATTTATCTTTCACTGAAGTTTGTTAAAAAGGGATGGGGGAGGGGGGGTATTTATTTATTAGTGGAAGAGCAAAATATTTATGCCTGTAGGGATTCTGGAGCGGGCGGGCAGGGGAGCGAGGGGCCCCTTGTCCTGACATTCAGCACAGGCGGCTGCTGGTGGTGCAGAGTCCGTGGGGCTGTCCCAGCATCAGAAGGTCTCGTCGTCGTTGCAGTCGGCCGTCCAGTGGCCGAACACCTCGCACGTGTCGCAGTAGGGCCGCTCCTCGCGCCGGCTGCCGTGGTGCGCCGAGTGCGGCGGCTCCTCCAGCGCCTGCGCCTGTGTCGGGCAGTCCTCGGTGTCGTGCAGGTCGAAGCAGCCGCAGATGTCGCAGAAGAGACGTGGCTTCTTCTTGGACTGGCTCTCCTCCTCACTGCAAGAGCAGCACCGGCACGAGTCAATGCCTCTGCCACACAGCAGCAAGGCCCGCGGCCCTGCGGTGAGCTCGGGGTTACTGACACCCAGGAAACGCCACAGAGCTCAACCAAAAATAGGATACAAACCCTTCTCCACCACCCTGCAGTGCCCCCACAATCCCCTACATTCTAATATTTACTGAACAAGCTGCTGTTTGTGCAAGTATTTGCACAGAGACATTTAAAAGAAACACACGTGAAGTAGTTTTTCTTTTCCCTTAAGAGAGCTGAAGTCATGGCACAGCAAATAGGTTTTAGTTCTATTTCTCTGGATTGGTTCCTCCTATCCCAACACAGCTACAGCCTCTTGGGAGCAAAGACTCTTCTGCACTTGCAAAGGGCCAGATTCACTGTCATACAACACACGTCACAATACACCAGTGTTTGGGACTGATAACTGCAGAGCACCATTTGCACTCCCAGTTACACCACAGTGTAAAGAGAAGGCTGGATTCAACCACTAAGCTCCAGGGAAAGCTCTGTCTGTCCCTCCTGACAGCTGAGATCAGGCTGCTGGTGCATCATGCAGCTGCCAACCCACTCTACCAACAGCTCCCAAAACAAGAGCCAAGGCTTCCTTTAGGATTTGTACCTGTCATAGTTATTTATCTCCTCTTCATTGCCATTGAGGGCTGCTTCGCACATTCTTTGTATTTTCAAGTTCAATTCTTCATTCCTCCTTTGTAGATCCACTATCACTGAATTCAGGAAGTCGATCTAGGAGAGCCAAGGACAAGGACAGTCAGAGGGGCAGGGGTTTGGCACCACCCCCAGCCCCAGGGTTCAGCGCTGCTGGATGTAACCAAGGAACACTTGGCAAACAAACGGGAGGAAAGAAGGGGAACCAACCTCGCCCTGGTGGAAGGAAGGGTTGCCATCAGCAGGTGAATTCAGGGAAGCAGAAAACCAGAAAAAGATTGGTGGTTAGTGTATATTCATGACAGTTCTGATGGCTGCACAACAGGGAAGGACATTTTTAAATCACCGTGACTTAACAAAGGCTTTATCGTAAGCAGAAGGTGACTCTCTTCTAACCATATTTTCTAGGCATTTGTTGGCACAGGCCCCTGTGAAGCAGCACTTCACAAGGTCACTATGACTGTCCTACTCTGAATCACATCTTCACCTTCCTTCTCCACTGCTGCCAGCCCTTGTTCTGAGTCCAGTTCTGCAGTGCTTAGAGGTACCCAGGAGCTCAGGGAGCCCGTTTCTCCAAGATGGCAAGCACCAGCTTCAGGTGGGCCACGGCTTTTCCTCATGCACATCCAAGAAACCTCTGGAAAGGTCAAGGAGCAGTGAGTGCTCTGCTGGCTGGACCTCTGACAGACTGCAGGGCACAACTTGCCACCCTAATTTCCTGCTTATTCCCTCACATTCCCATGATCTGAACTGTTTCTCCAGTATCACTCATCACTTGATTCTTAGTATTTACTGTCACTGACATTTCCCTTCAGAAGCTGAGGGGCTAGAAGATAAATCTGCCCATTAAAAACCTGACCAACAAAACCCGGGACTATCTTTGGAATATTCCCCTCTCCTACAGCCCCACTGCTGGCTTAGCATGCTCATGTGCACATCCAATACCTGCTTCTCTCGTGCAATTTCCTCCTGAAGCAGAGTAGCAGCGTCACCTTTAAAGGAAAAAATCAAACAAGGTACAATGTGACTCGTGCCATGGCTCAGTCAGAAATCATGTCACAGGCTCTGAGGGCACCGACACTGGAGTGGCTCTCGCTTTACCTGAGGGGCTCATTACAGTTAAAGGCTGCTCATTGTTTTCCTTGAGTTTTTGCTCCAAGTTCTTCACCTTTTCCTCAAGTTTCAGTTTGTCAGACTCCAGTGACTTCACCACTGACTGCAGGGTTTTTGCAGAGGCGTTTTCTCCGCGGAGCACCGTGATCTGGAAGAGTTGTTTGACAACACTTGGAACCTCCAACACCAAGCCAGAGCACCAAGGCCAGGGCCCTTGAAGCAAGGGCTGAACAACCACCAAAACCCTGTGCCAGGAGTCACCTGGCTCAGCACAGGCAGCTGAAGATTTGATGCTAAGCTTTAACTATGCCACACAAAAGAAAAATGATCAGCCAGCTCTTCAGGAGCCAGCACAAAGCCTCTGGCTGCAACTTAAGTGAAATTGAAATCATCCATTCCTCATTTACCTCATGTCTGAGTTTTTCCAGTTCCTCATCTTTTTGTGTGATCAAGGCACTAGTAACATTGATGGATTTCTGTAGAGATGCTCTCTCTTCATCAATTTCTTTTTTTAACGTTGATTCTCTAAAAGAAAACCAAGTAAAACCAGAAGTCATCTATTGAATGGGTAACTGTAGCGGCCCAAAGTAGTTTCATTTAATTTCAAGTATTAAACTACTTAAGAAGTGGTTCTTAAAAAACAAATTACAGTTTACTGCTTGACTAAGGTTTTGTATATGCACAAACATTTCAGGTGTTACAACTGTGGAAACAAAGCAAAAACTTTACCTAGGTAGTACATGCCAGAATCTGCATAGCACCGTATCCATTTGAATTTAAAGGAGCAAGTTAACAGACTGGGGAGATACAGGATAAACAAACATGTTGCACAATGTTCCACAAAACCTAACTCGAGAGTTTTGTTACTTCTTGAAAATTACTAACAAGCAACAAAACAGGCATGCAAAGCTCATTGTACAAGCTGTCATGCAAAGCATGGATGAGGCTGGAAATATCAGCTGGTCCTCACTAATTTCAGTGACATCATCATTTCCTGCACATAGAGAAACCACATGGGATTTGTTTGACTTCATGGGAGAAAGGTTAAAAAGAAACCCTCCAAAGCAGGCACAACTCCCTTCCACGTACATATGTCCAGCTTTCCCAATATTTTCCACGGATCTAACAGAGATACAACTTCTGCCTACAGCTCCTGCCTTAAGGCACCACTGCTGTGACACCTTCAGTGAGTAACTGTCCTCTGATGGCAGGAACATTGCTACAAATTTCCTTACAAGCTGAAAGATTTTGGTTAAAAAAGAAAACAACAAAAAAATGACTTCAAACCACTTCCTTTTCTCCAGAAGGAACTGGCTCTTCCTCTTGAAGAGTCGGTGCAGGCAGCAGTGCTGCTATAGGCTCTGAGCTCCTGCAGGGATTCTAAACTGCACTACACTCCCCAGTGCTGCTGAGGGATCAGGAGCAAAGCCCATCCACGTGGGACGATGCTCAGGGGACAACTACGAGCACAAATGGAAAAGTTTCCATCTCTGTGGTATCTACAGTTAGTGAGAGCCATGATACCCAGACCATGAGACACAGGAAACCTCACCCACTCGAGATAAACAGGCAACTCAACGATGAGAGCACAATCAATCAATTCTTTCATTGTTCAGATTGTACTCAGGAATGGAAGCAGCAAGTGGAGAATCTGGGGTTTAGAAAAGCTGAGGCAGCTACCAAACGAGCACCAAAATTTGATTTGGTTATGGTGTATTTTTACAATGAGAGAATCAACAGAAGTGGAAACACAACAACTTGCAGACTGTGTGATCTTGCCTTCAAATACAAGTTACAGTCTTGTCAATAAAACCCAAAAGGGCACTGGCATGGAAAGACCCCCTGGCCAACCCTGAGTCAGCAAAGCACTCAAAGCTCCACAGCCACCTCCGTGTTCTCCCGCAGGATTCCCAGCTCCGCCTGTCCCATGGTTTCCAGTGCTTTGCTGCGTGGTTCAAAGGCACATGGTGGTGTGGGAATGGATGTGCCACCAGTGCATGGGGTGCTGCTGACAGAGCAGAGCTGCAAATCCAGGATTTGCTGGGAAGTAAACCCTGAGGACATGTGGGAATCACATCTGGAAGTTGCTGCTCACAAGCTCTGCTGCACCCGAGACTTCTCCCGAGCGTCCCCGTGCTGTGCACGCAGCTGGGAAAGGGCAGATGGAAACCCCAGCGGCTCAGCCCATGCTCAAGAGCTTGTGATTCAGCCAATGTTTCCACTTGGTCAGATCTTCATGGAGAGATCAGGACCAAACAGATGCTTTTGGTACAAATGTGGTTAATTCGCCGTTTGTCGGGCTCAGCTTCAACCACCACAACGCTGAGGTGGTTGAAAAAGGCAAACAGGTTGTAAGGATAGAAATAAAATATTTACAGACTCAATACAGGAGCCTCGAATGCTAAAACACAAAGGGAGAGAAAGGAGAGAAGAAAAGAGGAGAGAAAACAAGAGGGGAAGAAGATCCCTGTGCTGGAGCTTTGGGTTTTCTTTCCCTGGACAATCTCTCCAGTGGGGGACCCAAAAACGCTGGAACTGGAGAAGCTACAGCCAAGGAAGGTGCTGGTCCCTAAGTGTGGATCACTTCTAGGTCACTTCCAGGCAGAGTCTTGGCTGCTGCTGGAGCATCGTGTGTGCAGTGGGAGTCACACACAGAGCAGGTGCTGAATGGGAAATAACTGCACTGGGGGAGCTTGCAAGGAAAATCTTTTGGAAACTATTTATTTTATTTGAAAAAAAAAATTGATTTAGTGAACTTAAACTTTTTTCCTGCCAATTCAAGTTCAAAACATCTGCTTACCAGCAGGGGGGAAATCAAAACAAAAATGACTTTTTCATTTAGATGCCATTTTAAAACTTCACTTTCTTGAGAAACTTAAATCAGGTTCTGAGCAGTGAGTGGAAGTGGTGGGAGAAAGGGGTTTGTTTTGATTTAACATTAAAAAAAAATCACCCAGATTCTTCCCTTACTACAAAAATAAGAAATTCTAAGAATGAAGCAAATACCTTAAAGTGCTACTGGGTAAGCTTTAAAAATGCAAGATAACAAGAACCACATGTTAGAAACATGGAGTACAAATGCAAAATACTGTAAGGAAGAATATTTGCACCAAGGGCCTTTTCTGTTTTGGTAAAAAATATATAGACTTTTTTTTTTTCATTATACATATATATATATATATATAGAGCTGAGTGTTTTACAAAACAAAAGCAAGACACCAAGGGACAAAGGCAGCCAAAATATGTACAACAACTTTACTAAAAAAAAAAAAATAAAATTATTTATTGTAACGTGGATAGACTTTCTTGAGTCTTACCATTAAAGACACACAGATATAGCAAGGGAAGCAAGGGCAGGAAAGGGAAGAGAGAGGAATGAAATGAGTATCGAGAAACAGCGAAGCTCAAAGACAGTCAGACAGCAACCCACACTGAACCCAACGAGCTGAGCCACACAGAACCCCCCACGATCCATCACAACAAACTCCCAGCACTCCCAGCTGGATTATTTCATACAAGGGGATGCTAAAACAGAGGGAGAGAATTCCTGGGGGTGGAAGGGAGGTGAGAAATTCACCACGAGAGATTTGACCTGACTGAAACACAAAGATGGCTCTTGTTCAGCAGTTCGAATTCTTAAGGCAAAAGGAGGAAATTATCATCTTCCCTTCACCAAGTTCTGTGCAATTTGGGAATTTAGAGACTTTTTTCGTTATTTTTACTTAATTAGCTCTTTCTTCAGCCAGACTTTTTTCACGAGCACTGATGCCACATGTTGACATGTTCTGAGCCCCAATGCCTGCAGTTTTTCTCAGCCAGGCTGCTCCTATTCCTTTTCCTCATTTTCCCCTGTTCCTGTTGCTCATTTTCCTCTTCTACTGCAGTTTATTCAACACTGCTGAGCAATGTCATTAAGCCAGTCACAAACTGGGGCATCTCAGTGTAACCCACTGAAGGTAAAGTCATGATAAAATTCACCTCACTGATTCCATAATTGTCTGAATTATTTCAGGCAGCTCACCCAGAGTAAAACAGGAGAAGGAAGATCAGAGCCACCACACACCTTTCTCTGTAGAACTTACAAAGAGTTTGTCTTTGAAAATGTTCTCTGTGAAATAGAACTGCTGGAAAGTATTGAATGACTTGGTCCCCACTCCTTCCTTCCTTTCCTCAAGTGACTTCCAGGAGTTACACTACTGAAAACACATTTTCAAACATGTTCAGTGACAGGCTGGTGATGCAGCTCGTGAGGCTGGTTAAAGCTGGAGGTTCAGCTGATCCAACTCTGACATTTCCTGGGGAAGCATTGGCTTGGGAAGCACCCCATGTGCCTGCTGGCCTTTGGAACAGCAGGAGATAGGACAACCCCCTCCCAGAGAACAGAGTGTCAGGGAATGAGGAAGGGAACAGTGATAATACTGAGTGGCCAAGGATGTGTGTGCATAAACACCCAAAAGCCACTCACTGTTCTTTGTTGTGACCATTATAAATCCAGGAAATTTAGCAGGGGTTGGTTTGTTTTTCCTGGAACAGCCGAGGTGTCGTGGGGAGCTGTGTTGTTCTCTAAGGATTTATGTAACTGCTCTTGGAAAGGCCCCATTTCCCTCAAGGCACAGGGGCCAATCAGCTTCCCATGCACACACTGCAGACACTCAAATTCATGACTTGGGACCTTCCCCTGAGCAGCAGTTTACAAAGGGATGCCCCAGTCACCCAGGACAAAACCTCCTGGCATTTAAAAGCAGTGCTGAATGAGCTGCAGTAACCCACAAGGAACTCAACAGCCCAAAGCCATGAAAGCAGCAAGTGCTCAGTAACTTTTCTTTCCTCTTCCCCTCTCCTCTAATAACCCTCCTCAGCATCACTGAACTGTCCATTATTTTTCAAGAGCTCGCCGGGTCAGATCTGTGCATGCACATTTTATCAGACTGAGGGACAATCCAACATTCCAGAGCAGACTAAAATCAAACATTAAACTGGTCACTGCAAATAAGAATTACCACAATGTGGGAGGTGTGGAACTAAAGCAAACGTGGATGGTTCCATCTCTAATCCAACGAGTGCAACAACTCAGCACTTTTAACCATGACACAACAGAAAGAACAGCTCTTAGCAGTGTTTTTGTGTTCCATTTCTGTGGGGTTAAACACACATCAGCAGGAACAACTTACCTCTTTTTCATCTCTAATAACTGGTTATTGAGTACTGATCTCTCCTCTTCCAGCTAAAACACAAGTACAGACAGACTCTAGTTAATACTACAGATTGTTTCCTTAGTATAAAATATTAGAGCATCATTATCATAAAATAAACGTGGGAGAGGCTGCAGAGCCCCCAGATCCTCAAAGCAGCAGATTTTCTACTGGCACAGCACATGCACCCAAACACAAACTGTTCAGTGACCAAAACATCAGCTAGTGAGGGCCTGGAGCTCCTTTACGAGCATTTCCATGTCCTGTGCACACAGCAGAGGTGTGAGACCAGTGTTAAAGGATATTTCCAGACCCTCCTCACACCCCCCAAGAACCCTTTGTGTGCCTGCCCATTACTTTTAGCCCAGCACTGGGGAATTGCTGGGTTTCTTGTGCTGGATCATTGTACCACTGATCTGTATTTGTTACTGTCCCGTTATTCAGAGATAAATTATTGATCCCAAAGCTGTTGGTCTCATGTTTGTTACCACATCCTGAACCTGTAACTCAGTGAGGCCACTCTAAAGCCCTTAAAACTTGCAAAGCCTTCACCTGCAATTATTGTTGTTGGGTCTAAACTGGGTTAGGAAATGCAAAGCAAAAAAACTGCAAAGGCTCAACACAGAAACACTGGGACAACTGATCTTCTGAAAAGGTTAAGAAAACAAGTATTTTCCAGGTAAATTATTTACTTTTCACCATCTTCTCCTTCTTTTTTATTCAATGGCCAAAGCCAGAAAATACTGCTGTGAGAAGTGTCTGTACCAGAACTCCCTGAGCACAGGCTCCAGTGGGATTTCACAAGCTTCCAGGGTTCATCCACCAGGTCAGGAACACACACATTTATAATGGCAACCTCAGAGCCCTGACAACAGCTCCTGTCCCTGACAGAGGGAATTCTTTCAGCGCTTTGCAGATCCTGAGGTTTGGCACAGAAGGCGTTAAACAAGTTTCCTCAAGCAAGCAGGGTGTCTGCCAGCCCCCAGCTCTCAGCTAAATGCAGCTCACTGAGAGCAGCCATCTCCTCCACATTTCCTGACAAGTTACCTTCTCCTTCCCTGTGCTGCAGTGCTGTTAAACCTTCCAGGTTTGGCATTAACCAGGATTGTTTCACTGGGCTTAATCAGAAAACTTTATTGATACAAAAATCAGATACTAGAAGGGTGTAGAGAGGCTTCTAGAAATAATTCATAAAGCAAATCAAGATGTGTCTCTCAAGGCAGGTGACCACTGTGGGACAGCAAAGCAGCCAAGGCACTGGGGGGGTATGGCCAAGTTCTACCTGAAGGTCAAACCCAGTCAAAACCCAGTTCCACCAGCAGCACCCCCATGATTCCCAGTTTCTCTCTTGTTTCCTGCCCAGAGGCAGCCTGTGTGAGCTCCCGACATCTGTGCAGACTGGTGACAAAAAGGGACAAATGTGACAAGTCTGAGAAATGTTACACCCAGGGAGCTGCAGCTTCAGCTGCTTCTCCAGACCCTGGTTCTGACACCTGGGTTCCAGGCCTCTCTCCTCTGGCAGATCTCCAGAGTGAAGGGACTCATCTCCTGCCCACCACACTTCCCAGCTGGTTTTTGGATTCCTTGCCCTCTGCCAGCACAGCCATTTCTCTACAGTCACACTCAGCACCCTCAGAGCAGACCTGGCACAGTGTTAATAAAAGATGGGCCAGTTGAGCTGCTGGGTATTTCTACACCTTCTCCAATGAACTTCAAATGCCTGAGCAGGTCTGAGGCTCCCAAAATGCCACAACAAATAATTTGAAGCCAGGAAAGCTCCCTGAGCTCAGTATCTATCCGAATGTGACTCTTTAACTAATTACAATCAGCTAATTATTAATGGATCAATACAGAAAAGCTCCCTCAGCATCTTTGGCATGAGACACTTTAACCTTTAGATGTTCCGATAAATCATTCATGAAACGGGATTCATTAATTTTGCAAAGTGTGTCACAAGCAGCCACAGATTCTCTAACCCAATTGACAACACACTTGTTAGAATTTATGTGGTTACCACAGCAACAGCTCAAAATTCCCAATCCTGTGTTTTCCCTTCCTGATGCATTTCACAGGTACCTGCACAGACTCTCTGCAGCCTGAGCTCTGCTGCTTTCTGCTTTCCTCCCCACTGCCCAGAGTTTTGGGAGCACCATGTGCAGCTCCTGGACAATCCTGCTGTGGGAGACCCTTCACTGCCAGCACGGACACTCCTCCAAAATCTGCTGGAGGATTCTTCGTGGTGACATTTTTCCTGCTTCTCACAGAGAGCCTGAACCCAGGGAGCCCAAAGCCTGTGGCCACTGGTGGCTGAGCACAGTGTGACAAGAGAGGGGAGGTGTTGGGACACCAAAGGCCTCTCCCAGGCTTTTGGGAGGCCGAGCTGTTCACCAGATCTCACAGCCCAAATACGACATTTGGGAACTGCAACAGGCGGCATTCCCATATTCCCAAGGTTCAGATCACACTCTCCTTGCAGAAGGGCACACTGTCCAACACCAAAGGCTGAAGAAGGCAAACAGGCTGTGTATCCAAGCTCCAGCAGATCCTCCAGATCCTTGCTCCTGGAACCATCTACTCACGGGCAGGACAGGCTATGGTGCGGCCGAGCTGACACTATTCCAGTTTGTGAGGTGATGGATTCATCCCTGTGCTTCCCACACCACAGCTGTCTGTCCTGGCAGTGAGAGAGGGATCCCTGCTGACAGATCCATAGCCAGCAGGATGCACACAGCAGGATTCCTTCCCGAGGTCAGCTGCAAACAAGGGAGGCCACAGACCGAGTGCAGTGACCGCGGCCAGCCCGTGGCTCGGGGGCTGTGGGGTCCCTTCCCTCGGGGCCTTTCCGGGTGACAAAATGCAGAAAGGTTTGACCAATGCTGCCAAATCCTTCTAAAGTTACAACTCTCCCTGAAAATAACAGGTTGACTCAAGGACTCTGAAATAATTTAGGAAACCCTGTGGGAGTGGGGAGCAGCTCCCACTGGCTGTTTGGGATGTGCTCTCCCCACTCTGCTCCTCAGATGAGGAATGAGTCAGTGCTGAGCCCACACGTCTGGGACTCTGCTCGTCACCTCCAAAGGCTCTTGAGGATCAAGGAGCCTGAGCATTACTCCTGCCAGCAGCTAAAAGGATTTACAAACTGGCCAGGGACATCACCCATCCTCAGGACTTCCGAACAGGACCTTTGGGGGAAAATCAGCCTCTTGGCTTTAAAAATATTAAACCTTTGGCAGGGTGGAAGAGTCTGTGCCCTGTCAAAGGGAACAGGATCCCCTCCCTGCACAGGTGATCTCTCAGAAAGGCAGGGCACACAAACCTCAGTCTCCTACATTCCTGGTTTTGGATCTTTTGGATGAGATCTTCCAAAGATTCCTTCACAGTGTGCCTGTCACTGGAACTGCTCCACAAGAACTAAACTCACATTAGGGGCTGTAAATCTATTTTATCTTTTGGCAAGTACCAGTGATACAAGCTGAGTAATTTGCCCATTTTAGGATTCCAACAACATGTTCAGATAGAATAGTAAAAAATAATAAAAAAAAAAAATAAAGTACCACCAGAAAAACACCTTGCAGGGGTTCTGTTCCCTGGGACCCAGTGCCTGGCTGCAGTACAGTGTGAAGTTTGAGCAGGCACACACACAGCACAAGTCCAACCAAGTAGTTTTACACAGTATTCTGAAATACATCCTAAATCCTCTTTGTTTTCAGTGAGGAGAGCAGGAATTAAGAATTAAAAAGCTACATTTCCTTAGTACTGCTGGATGGACATTTCCACAGTTGTGTAACAAAATCACTCCCGACAGAAATAGCAACTCTCTGTTAATACACTTGGCTAAAGCACGTTTAATTTATGCTCATTCCCAAGCCTTCCCAAGTATCCTTCCCGGGTTACGTAACCTTCTGTCAGCCTGCACTTCCAACCTCCCCGTGCAGGTGGCTTCCAAATTTATTTCCAAACGTTCCCAGCACCGCTCATCCTTTCCAGCACAGGCTCCCCGGGGCAGCCCCGGAGCTCCGGCGGAGCCTCCACCCGCCCGCTGCGGCCGCTCTACCTTGTGGTGGCTCGACACCTCGTCCCTGCTCCTGCCCAGCTCCTCGGCCAGTTTCACGTTCTCCTCCTGCAGAGCCTCGAGCTGCTGGGACTTGTGAGCCGCTGCCAGCTTGAGCGCTTCGCTGTGAGCACACAGAGAGCATCGTTACCATAGGAACGGGAGAGGCGAGGGGAAACTGGGGGAGAGAGGCGGCTTCACAGCTTGGAAAAATACATCAGGGTCACGTGGCGGAGGGATCGGGAAGAGCGGTGACAATCCCGGGGACACAGGGACGGGTGAACCCTGTGGCTGCACCGAGCCCTCCCGTGCCACTGCTTCAGGTGCTCGGGGATTCCCACGGGCAGCGAGGCTGGGATTTGGGAACTCAGCGCAGGAGGGTTGGCGATGGTTGCAGCCTGGACTGTTCACAGAAGAGAACTTTGCAGCCAGAGGTAAAACAGAATTGCTTAAAAGCATGAAAAAGAAAGAAAACTTGGAAAAGAAGGCAACGGGATAAAAACCAGCTTAGAGCTTCACTTATTTAACTACTCCCTACCAGGTCTGACATCCAAAAGTGCAGGATCACAGGAAGCAAAACCCCATCTATTCCACTATTTTAACAGACTCAAACTGCAAATGAGACAAAACCAAAGCTGAAGAAAAAAAGGCTTTGCAGCTTTCATCAGCCCGCGTTGCTACTAATGAGTATAGTTTTCTTAAAATACGTTTATTTGCAACAATTTTTTAAAAAATATTTAGCATGCTGGCTGTAACATGAGTGACTAACAGAAAAATCTTAGAAATTTGACATCTTTCAAAAAGCACAAAAGATACCCTTAATTTCACTAAATAGTTATTTTTATTACTCTTTTGTTTTGTAAAAAAGGAAATGCAGTACTCCTGTGTGCCAATACTACAGACTTAAACCCTGACTGGAATATTAAAAATACTTTTATAACTGTGGGAAGTAGATGAACCCTTAAGTCAGAAATTTATTCAAGCACTTCAGAATACAAGGATTTGCTGTCTCTTACTGGGCACATGTAGACAAAAGTCTGATTTTAGTTCAGCATCTCATGGGACTCTGATTTTTCAACCATATCTGGTCTCACCTTGGCAAATTCCCACCCTGATCCCCCTGGACTGGAGCAAACTGCTCCCACCTCTAACAGTGACTCCCCTCCTGCTGAGCAGGAACACACCAATTTCTAACCCTGTTTCCTTGCTGAGGAGCAGCACTAACCCCTCCTCCTCTTTCTTCTGGCATTAAGGCACAGATTATTTAGGGTGTTAAAAAAACCCCACACCCAGGTCTGGGGTCAGCGTGCCTGAAATGCCCCCGTGTTCATGGCAAGAATTCCCAAGGGATGGCCCTGGGAGCACCTACAGGCACTGCAGCTTTCCCTCAGCCCAGCCTTTTCCAAAGGACACCCTGTCCCTGTCACATCCCCCTGCTCCAAAGGCACCACATTCCCTCTGCTCTCCTCACCCAGCCCTCATCAGCTCACCCTGAGCTGTGCTCTCCACCCACACCCTGCTGCTCAGGAATCCCTGTCACCAAGCTAATTCTTCCTATAATTGAACAGGGCAACACACAAAAAAGCTAGCAAAGATCAATTAAAAAAACCAAACTAGACAAGCTTCCCTTTCTCCCCAGGGTCTCAGCTCTGATGATCAGAGGCCACATTCAATCTAAGAAATAACAGAATTAACCCCATCACAGTGATTGGGGTCCTGAGAACACCTTGAGCTGCTGGAGATTTTCAAGGCAGCATCTCCTATAAATAATTCCTGCCTGGCAAATTACAGCCCAATATCTGCTGCCTTTCCATAAAACCGGAGTCCCCCTTGCTGTTCCATTTAACTCTGGCATTTCCCAAGAGCACCGAGGCAGGAATTGCTCATGGAAAGAAATCCTGCCTTTCTCAAAGGGGTCTGTGCAAGGCCCCAGGTTTTCCAAAGCCACCAGCACAAGCTGCCAGTCACAGCCAGACACTGAATCCTGTGCCCTGGTGTCACCTCGGAGCTGTCAGTGGCTCAGAGCTGTCACAAAATGACAAATGGAACTACAATAATAATAATAATAATTAGTCAAAGCTACTCTTAAGCTGTCAGCAAGATTCCAGCTCTCACTCTATGAGCCAAGAAATTCCTCTTGGAGCACAGGTGAAAAGTTGTTTGTGATTTAATGCAGGACACCTCTGAGAGCTGGGGATGTGCAATCACTGCAGGGCAGCAATAATTTGGATCTTTATTCCCTGTGGCACAGCAGCAGCTTTGCTACAATGAGATTCCACAGGGCAAATTACTTTTTATCAAATGCTTTCAGTTCATTTGTCTGTGTCCAGTGTTACACACTGTGAGTCTGTAGTATGTAAAATGCTGTTTTTCAATGAAGCAGCTCAAATAATGAACAATTAACTCGAGTTTCACATCCCATAAGTAGGATCTGGTTTGCACCATTTAGGAAATAGTGGGGCCACAGAAATAAACTTCATAAAGCCATCAATAAAAAATAAAAGCAGAATCAAATATTCTATGAACAAAGCCACTTAACACTCCAAGTGTACTTGTAATTAAATCAGAATTCTCTTCTAATAAAGATTTTAATATCATCTCGTGCCCTCAGGTGATAGAACCCTTCAACAAACAAATTATTTCAAACTATGGTCTAAGGATTTGCTTTAACTCCCTTCAGCAATTTAGTAGCAACATTCTCATGTCAAGTTTTGCACATGCCAAACATTTAATTTTGACCCAATATTGGCTTTATAAGTTAGGATACCAGAAAGGTGGTGAAAGACAATTAAAAAAAAAAAAAAGGTAAATGTACCCACAAAAATTAACAGATTTAACACTGAAAAACTTACAATTCTTTTTTAAGTTCTTCCACTTTCTTGTTCTCCAGATTTAGAAGCTCTTTTGATTTATTAAGTTCCTCTTCATTTTTCAGGTTGTTTTGTTTAAGCATGTCCAACTTAAAGAGGAAAAAAACCCTCATTACACCAATGAAACCACACAGTTCTCAGGAAACAACCCTCAGCCAAATGTGGGCTGGAGCTCTTCCATTTTCAATCTTTACCCCCTAAATTAACCCAGCCTGTCTGGACTGATGTGTTTGTCCAACAACAAATGTTCTGAGACCTTCTGCATTCAAATAGAGCAGCACAAAGAATTACAAGTCTACTGGAGAGAATGGTATTTCCAGGAATGTGGTGTCAACACCCCAAGGTAAAGCCCAAAGCACCTCACCTCCATTAACTGCTGCAGCACTCAGAGCATTATTTGTTTTTTGAATGCAAAGCTAAAACCAGCTGTCCCCTTGATCTTTCTTCCTCTAAGATAACTCATCAATTCTGCTTTTCCATACCTTATTTTCTGAGTCAGGAGGGCTGAATGCTGTGCCTGCACCCACAGGAAATGAATTCCTTGCAGAGATCTTGTTGCATGGGACAAAATGCTGGACATGGATTTCCTGAGCTTGTGTCCCCCACGGAAACACCAGGAGCTTGTGGAGCTGATTTGTTTGCATACAGCCCACAGTGTATTTATTACATAACAGATAATCTGCAGCCATTCTCCTGGCATTGCAGGACCCTGTGGATTTTTTTAATCCAGAATGGGAACCCCTCCCATATGAACGTCACCACTTCTAATTCCCGTGCCAGCAGATCCCGCTGGAAATCGTCCCCGTTCCAACACTGAGGGCAGCCCAGCTGTTCACTCCCAGTGCTCTGGGAGTGCATCAAAGGGTGAGGGCTTCCTCCCCTTCCCTGGGCCCTGCAGCAGCACAGAGTGGTGGGAAGACATTGACTGGACACTGATCCCAACGGGAACTGCTGCACCTTGGATTGACACCACATGCAAAATACAAAATAACCATGGCCATAAAACCATGTGCATTTTCCATCACTCTTCCAGTAATTTTTCACAGACTCCTCTCCTGCCTATTTCAATTCTCTGTAATTCAACAGTTGCTCTCACAAACCAGGCAAAACTTTTCACAGAAAAGCATTTAATGTGATTACTTCATTCTGCAGCTTCTGGTTTGTCTGTCTCGAGTTCTCCAAAGAGGCCAAAGTTTCAATCTTTTCTTTGTGAATGGCGTCCTTCTCCTTGGTCACCTGTTCCACTGCCTGGAAAACATCTTCTGTCACTTTGGCCTCCTGGATATAAAGGGAGGTGGGGAAAAAAATAGTTATTCCCAACAGGAGCTCTGACAGCAAAAGACCAATACTTTATACACAGCTCTGTGGTTTGTCAGCTGCTTCCCAGGTAAGTAAGGACCTCAGCTGGGAATTTATTTGCGTTTTGGAGCTGCATCAAGTATAAAATGAACTGAAGAGAAAATTCAATTCCACGCAGAAACAGATCATAACCCCATGCTCTTGTCACCACTGAGGAATTCCCTCTATTTTACTTCCTAGATTTCTCATTACCACCACTGTGATTGCTCTCAGACCTCTCACCTCTTTAGGCAGTAATAATTTAACAGATATTCACTTCCAACAACCCGGTATATTTTCAGAAAATATGGAATTACAAAAAAGATTCCAAAATTTGGAAAATAATGGAATTAGAGATAAAGCAAATTATTGCATCATTTCAGTGATATTCATTATGGCCTCATAAAGGAAATACTTCATAATGATATTAAAATACTCAGGCAGGTGTAATCTATAGGATCTCCTGATTTCAATTTGCATTCAATGTGATTTTCTGGGCTTCAAGCCACACAAACTGAAAATCAAAGTATCAAAGTATTTTATAAAGAATTTGTTGGTGGTGAATACAAAACACTTCTGTGAATAAAAAGAACACCAGAATTGTCAGTGTCTTTCCCATTCTCTCACACTGCTTTTATCCAATTACATTTATAGGAGAAGCACATTCTTTTGTATTTTTTGGAGTAATTGCTGTAATTGAACATAAGACTGCACAAAGATCCAATCTAAAACCTTATCTATTACTACTTTAGATTTTAAGCTGTGGAGTCCTTCACCAGAAGGAGCTGCTCAATGTCTCCTACCAGATTAAGGGAACACAACTTCCTTTTATTCACAGTTTATATTCTTTTCTTGCAACATTCAGCAACAACAGAGGTTTTTGCAGTTAAAATATTAAAAATAAAAAAAAAAAGTGTCTTTCAGACTCACAGTTGCAACTTGCAACAACCCCAAAGTACCATATTGAGAGAGCCCACAAGTGCAGTGTGTTATTGAAGTGCAGAGTGTGCAATGAAGTGCAGAGAGGACACCAGGGGTTAGTGCTCAGGATTAGCAGAAACAGCCCCAGACTCGACTTTTAACTATCAATTTCAATACCTCTGGTTTCTGTACTACTGCTTGGGCCTGAAGAGTCTCAGTTTCTTTTACTTTCAAAATCAGATTGTTCGTTTGCTCCTGCAGCATCTGATTTTGGCCCTGAGACTCCAGCAATTTGCCTGAGAGGTCACTATTAGTTTGCTCGAAAAGTTTAACCGCCTCACACAGTCTGCAATAATACTGGGAGAGCAGCCTTTCCAGTTCTTCCAGTTTTTCCAGTCCCTGAAAATACTCCATTGTCTCCTTTTCCATCAGTTCCATCTCGTGTTCAAACATACTCATCTTGCTGGAGAGGGTGCTGTCCAGGCCCCGGAATTTTGCTGCTGTGATGCACAAGGCAGCATATTCTCTCTTCTGGCGCTTCATGATGAAAGTGATGTGTTCTTTCTCTGCCCAGAATTTTTTTTTCATTATTTTCACCAGTTTCATGTCAGTTTTTTGCTTCTCCTGAATTATATGTTTTGCCATAACCAGAGCTACTTTGTTTTTCTCTTTCAGCTCTTTTAGCTCCTTCTCTAAGCAGCAGATGGTTCTTTGAAGTTCTGTACGTCTGAACAGAAACACCTCCTCGTCCAGTTTTCGAGCTTCCTTTTCCAAGGTTAAGGTTTCTTTCACAAAAGCAATTTCTCTGTTTAATTTCTGACACTCCTCCTGCAGCTCATCCCTCTCCCTGGTCAGCATTTCCCTGGCAAAGGAGCATGTCTCCAAGGAAGACGACAGCACCTGCTCCGTGTGTGATGCAGCAGCCAGCTCACCTTCTAATGCTCTTTTGGCATCCTGGGCCTCCTTCAGAAGATTGGAAAGGTCACATTTACAGGTCATTAACTCTTGATTTTCTGCAGTCTTCTTACTGAGTTCTCCCTTCAGGGCTTCAATGGAATCTTGGAGTGTGGCATTCTCTTGAGCCAGAGCATTCTTGGATGAGAGGTCCAGCTCACGTTCTCTCTTCGGATCAGAAACTGCCTTTGCACAAGACCTGTTTTCATCAAGAAGCTCCAAGTATTTTGTCTCCAGTTCATTCTTCTCTTGGAGAAGAGCTTCATTGTGCTTTTCAAACTGCAATGACTTCTGAAGGACAGATTCCTTTTCCAAGGTCAGTTTGTTCATTTTCTCAGTGCAGATTCGCTCACAAAGCTCAGCATCTGCTGAGGCCTTCGCAAGCTTCTCGGCAATTGCCTCCTTTTCATTGAGAAGCTGCTCCCTTTCAGCCAAAAGCCTCTGTTGTGATGAGGAAAGAGCCTCTTTCTCTCGATGTAACTGATTACATTCCAAACTGAGTGTCTCTCTTGAGGCTTTCATTTCCTCAAGACAACAAGTGAGACTCACAAGGGAATTCTCCAGCGCCGCGGTGTCTTTCATCGCTTTGGTGAGCTGTGTTTGCATCTCCTCTTCTCTCACTTTTAACTCTTGGTTTTCACTGACTGCGTTGTCTAAGCTCACTTGCAGCTTTTTTGTGCATTCAAGGAGCATCCCCCTCTCTTCCTGCACGCCCAGCAAGACCTTGCACAGCTCCTTTTGCAGGGTGTCATGTTTGTCTTGAAGAGCCAAGAGCTTCCCTAGGGCTGAATCTCTCTCTGCAGCCAGAGTTGACACTTGCTGCTGGAGCTCCCTTTGGTCTTTGGCCAGGGCCTCACAAGAACTTCCCAGCTTCTGGATAACATCATCTTTGTCTTTTAGAATTGCATCTTTTTCTTCCAAAAGACTCTTCAGAAAACTCTCCAGCTCTTTCCATTCTTTGACACGTTTCTGACACACCACATCCATGGCATCTCTGCTGGCCTGAAGTTCCTCCAGCTTTTGGAACAAGGTTAACTCCAAGGACCGGAGAGCCTCATTTTCCTGAGCTGCCTTCAGCAGCTCTGCCTGCAGTGCCTCCAGTTCAGAGAGTAATCTGCTTTTCTCAGAAACCAGAGCTCCCTTTTCTGTGCTCTCCTGCTGGCTTTTGGCCTCAGCTTCTTCCTTCTGCTTTAGGATTCTTTTATTTTCTGCCTTCAGTTCTTCTTGGTCTTGTTGCATTAACGAAATCTTTGATTTCAATTCCTTAAGTTTTGATAACAAAGGACCTCTCTCTAATTTTAAAGTACTCCCCTCCTGTGCCAAAGTCTCTTTTTCTGATATCAAAGCCCTCATCTTGTCTGACATTTGTTCGATTTCTTTTCTGGATGAGGCTAACACAGAGCTTAAGGACTAAAGAAATAAAGTCGGGGAGAAGGGAAAACAAAAATCAAGTCAAGCAGACAAATGAGAAATGTGCTTTAAGGGCAAATACAGCAATTGTAATTTAAGTTTTAAAAGTGTATACACTGACACACAGTGATTGTTATAATTTAGCTGCTGACACACACCCCTGTTACATTACAGAACATGCATCATCCACAAGAAGATTTTAGTGGCTAAATAATATTAAAAAACTCATGATTTAAAGGCTCCTCCATCCAAAATTTCCTGTAATTTATAAAACTACTCTCAATAAATTGACTGACTGTAAATTATTCAAAAGAAGAGCCACAGAATGATTTCACAAGACTCTAAGTGAATTAAAATGCAATGAGTTCTATTAGAAACTGACTTCCAATTCTCAGTTTCACTTCAAGATTCTCTCAAAAATATGTTGTCATGACCCCTCCAATTCAAAACACCACATCAGTGCTAACAATATTGTGTGTCAATTTATACACTAAATAATTTGCTAAATCATATAACAAAGATTATAGCAAATAATTGCTGAGGGATGAAAGCAAGCAGTAAAGTAAAAGAAACAGGAGGAAAAATTAAAATTACTAAAGTCAAGCTACACACTGAATAGCTGCAGACCATACTACAAAACAAAAGCTGTGTAGCACTTCTAAATGAAGTAGTTCACAATGCATCTTAAAATTCAAGCATATAAAAACACAGGGAATGACATCTGGCTCCAACAGGCTGTGCTGAGCCAGATCTATGAACATAAAACGTTAACTGATATCAAAGAATTGTATCTCATCAACTCCTGTGTAACTGAGAGAAGAACCAACAAGCAGTTTGTCCTGTGGGCTTCTCCTCCCTAACCCATACCCACATACCCTGGAAAAGTTCAAAACAGAAACACTGCAAAAATCTAGCTATGAAAAGCTGAAGCAGAGAGAAAACAAGTCACTGAGACAGAAAATTTAAACTTTAAGTCACTTGCAGAGTGACAAAAGCCACTTACTCTGGCTTGCTCTGCTTGTTTCTGCAGCTCCTCAGCCTGTGCCTCCAGCTCGCTGTTTTTCCTCTGGGCACTTTTCAGAGCCTCTTCTGCATCCAGCAGGTTCTGCTTAAACCCTTGGATATCTGCATCGTGTTTAGCCACCAGCTCAGAAGTTTCTTTTTCATGCTTGGCCTGAAGATCTTTGAACTGATGTTGGCTGGTCTCAATCTGCTTTTTCTGGTGGAAAATAAAAGAGTAAAACACAGTTCAAGCAGCAGTGGGACCATATTTCTGCACAGTTTTAGTGCTTTTAAAGTCGTTCTTACCATGTCTGTCAATTGATCCTGCAGATTTTTCAGTTCTGCTTGATGAATCTTGAGAGTTTCCTGCTGACTCTGCTCAGCTTTCTGTGTTGTCTGCTCCACGTTTTTCTCAAGCTGAGCAGCCTTTTCATTTGCTTTTGTAAGCTCAAGTTGTATTTGCTCCAACTGCCTGGAAAGACCAAATGAAAGAACATCACTTTTTGCTGACAGGACCACAAGCACAGAGATGAAAGAGCTGTGCTGAAAAAGATTGTGCTGAAGTTCTATATTCTGACCAAGCATTCAAAAAGAGATTTCACTGTTTAACAGAAATGTTCTGCTAAATTCAGTACACACAGGGAAGACCAAGTTACTTTGCCCCCAGTATTGTACATACAATATTTGGGAAAAAACCCCAAATTTTCTCTCACAAAAATGTGACTTGAGTCTTTTATATATCTAAATAAACTGAGTTTATCAGGTAATCAAATAATCATGAAGCACAATCACAAAACAGTCTGGATTATTCAAGAGGTCATTTACTCTAGGCAATGAGAAGCACATTATGTAAGAATTTTGGAATGATCAGTGTTGGATGCTCTTCAAATCACTCCCAGGAGACTGTTTGGATTGATTTAGTTTGCTAGAATAAGCTCACTTGTCATATCAATGTGACACTCAGGAGCATCTTGTTCAGATATTTACAAAAAAATAAAATGAGAAGCTGGGAGTGTGGGAGTGGAGATTTGATGTGACAATGCTCTGACAGTGATGAAATACCTTTCTTTTAACCTCAGTTCATCATTCATTCTTGTGAGCTGGGCAGAGCTGTCTCCTGACGACTTCATGATCTCTGCAATGTCATTTTCAAGTTTGGCTTTTGCTTCCATCAACTGCTGCTCCCTCTCTTCTCGCTCCCTCAGCTTCCTCTCCATCTCTGAGCAAAACAAAGGTGCTTAAGCTGTAAATTTCAGAGGGAGGGTATGCAAAGAACAGCTAGAGAACTGTAAAGAACTAAAACCAGCAATAGTGATGCTCCAGACCTTACAGATCACTCCTCTAAAATGAAAGATGATGGCTGATTGAGCAGGTAACTGCAGCACAAGGTTAAGGACTCTTCAGAAACAGCAAGGAGCAGCTGGTCATGAGCCCTTTGTTTCAGAAGTGATTCACTTCAGGCCAGGAGATGTTGGTACAAGTCCTGCTGTCTCAGAGGGGAAGGAAGCAATGGAGGAAAAGACCTGCAGGTCTTGCAGGTGAAAGCACTCATCAGCTGTTCAGCAGAGCAGCAGAAAATGAACAAGGAAGACAAAGTGAAGCTCCAGTGAAAAAATGCCTCAGGGTAGGCACTGCCAGGGGCAAGGGCAGCCCTTGGGATCACTTCTCCCGTGCCAACAACACCAACAAATCACAAATTGTGCTTTGCTTCCCTCTGCACTGGTTTTACAGAGACGTAAAGAGAGGAAAGGCACAGCAAAGCCTCCTACAGGCTACAGAAGCCATGCCAGAGCACAAAGCTGATGCATTTCCAGAACATTCCATTTCATCCCTTCCTTACCAGTCAAACTAGACTTGAGCTGCTCCAGTTCTGAAGACATGAGTGCAAACTGCTCTTCTTTTTGGTTCAGCTTTTTCACCGTTTCTAGGCAAGTAAAATTTGGAAAACAAAGATAGTAACTATTTAAATGCAGACAATTCCACCTACTTGCAAGGTATGTTACCCTTCAGAGGGGCTACAAATAATCCTGTCCCTTCCACAGCCACTGAAACTGCTGTACCATCAGCTATGAGTTGAATGTGTTTTAAAAAGCCATTTTGTTGGCTTTTAATTTAATATCTGCAGCTGTTTAGTTCTCTGTTCATTTTAGCAGCACATACCTTGCATAGCTTGTTGAACATTCTCTGCTTCATCAGCTGCACTAGCAAACTTTTCTTTCTGAAAAATTGATAAAAACTTAATGTAAGGCTTGGTAGTAACAGTACAACTCAACCACTGAACTTGTATAAAGTATTTTTCATGTACATCAGAACAATCTTTGCTCCTATCATAAACAGATCTCAAGTTTTAAGAGTTACAGCTTAGCACAGATCTCAACATTTAAAGCAACTCCTCCATCAGCTGCCACAGAGCCTAGGGTAGGAAACAAGAATTTGGGGTTTCTATCCCTGCTGCTCACAGGCTGCACAGAAGGGACACCTGCAGCCCTGTGAACCATCTCCTACCAGCGTTCTCCACTTTTACCAGCAGGAATTGATACCAGACAATGAAGAAAAGGGAGGATTTCCAAGAAGGCAAGTGAGGCTCTTCCTCCAAGTTTGAATATTTACTATTGGCAACAGAAAGACCAAAAATTCCAATGTTTTGTTACTAATGCCAGTGTAGTTCCTCAGGGAAACCCCACCCAACAACACAGCATTTGGAAATTTATTTAAATGAGAAATGTCTTTTAAAACTATTTATAAGAAGTGTGTAGCAAGCATTAATTGGTACAACAGCTACAATAAAGGGCCATTTAGTGTTCCTTAATGAGCAGTCTAAATTTAAACTGCTGCTGCTTTTGATTTAATTTTATCTGCAATCCATAAATAGATGAGTTCTATTTAGACAAAACACCTGATAACACAGGACTGAGGTGAAATGCTCTTTTTATTCTGAGACAGATCTCATTAGCCATGAACCTTTCCCATTTTTATCACGAGTAAAACACCTTTGGAAGGTTTTTCTCAGAGCTGATCCATAGATTTCAATTATACTCTCACCATGAAACCCAAAATCCAAAGAGTAAAGTCAAAATTTTGGGGTATTACTCACCAAAACTTGAAGTTCCTTTTCCAAAGAATCTTTAACTTGATTTACTGCACTCAAGTTTTTCTCAAGGTCAAGAAGCTTTTGCTCTTTGCCCTGCAGGTCTTTGGCCAGATTACTGGCCTAACAAAGGTGATGAAATGGAGCAAAATAAAATTACAAACATGAATGAAAAATTAGGAAAATTAAAAGGTGAATCTGAAAGAAATAACTATAATATTAAAATCACTCTAAGATGAAAAATTAAAAAAAATGAAGAAAAGACCATGATGGGTTAACTGAGTGAAGCTGATTTCCACTGATGACTACATACATCACAGCACTAATTGCATCTTGGAATAGATTTGAAATCATTAAAATTTAGTTCTTTTGGTATTAATTGTGAATACATTATTTAATGGCAGACATTTTTGAATACACTCACAATTTCAAAGTTTCAGGATTATTTCAATCAGTAGTTTTGGTTCTTTATTGTTTTCATTTTTTGAACTGATTGATTTGTGCTTTAATTGGCTGATCAGATCAATACACACACACGGGGAGGGAATCTTCCCAAGGGCTCTGTACCACACCCAGTGTGGCCTCAAAAAGACAGTCAAAGGTAAAAATTTGTTATCTTGGAACCACCTGTGAAGAGTTTAGGAAAGCTTTTTCCTAGAATTTTCCTACTTTTTTTTTTCTTCCAGTCATTTTCCCACTACTCTTCACTGCCATCAGCTTTACAGAGGTGTTTTGTCCAAATCCAAGGAAAATCCTGGATCAAGTAGTCTGTGGGTCCAAAGTGCTGTAAAACAGTGCCAAAACCATCCCTGCAGGGCCTGGGCTTAAAGAAAAGTTCCACCAGGATTTCCTGTGCTTTCTTTTGTTTCAAAAGCCTCTTCCATCACCTTCTCAGAGGAAGGGAAGGTAATGAGGGCAGTATTTCCCCACTGATTCCCAGGTCCCCTTATCTATCCCCAAAGGTTAAAGCCTTAGGATGTGTGACCCTTCTCCCAAACAAGCCAATAAAGTAACTTTTCCTTAACAGGAAGATTTCAGCACAGACATGCCAAAATCTGCAGCAAGGAAGTGCAGAAGGAATTTTTTCCTTTTGCTTATTGCAGGTGGAGCAGCAGAAACCTGTTGAGACATGACCCAGTTAATGCTCCTCTAAACCTCCTCAGATGGTCCCAAGATACACATTCAGTAAAACTTGTTTTTTCTGTGACCTATTTCCTATAGCAGATTAAAATGGTACAAATGTAAAATAAAAGCAAAAGAAAACTAAAAGGATGGATGTTGATACAAACCTGGCTAATTCCATCACCCTTTTCAGTCTCTAAAGTCTGAATTTGTTTCTCAGCTGCCTCAAGCTGCTTGCTAAGTTTCTCGATTTCCAATTTACCTTCAGAATTGGCTTTCTCAAGTGCAGCAAGGTCCAAAAGCTTTTCTTCAGCAGCTTTGATCTGTGGTGTAAGACTATCAATAACTTTGGTTTGTTCATTGTACTTGGCTTGCAGTACCTCTAGCTCCTTTACCTTTATCTCAGCTTCCTGCAATTTGTTTAAAGTGTCTTCCATTTCTACTAGATGCTGATCTTCCACACTTTCCAGTTTGGTCTTCAGGCTTTCCAGGTTTTGCTCTTTCTCCTCCGTGACTGCCAACAGTTTTGCTTTCAGCGACTCAATCTCTTTCAAGTGATGAGATCTCTCATTTTCCTGTTTCACTTTTAGATTTGCCATTTCGTTCTCATAGTCTAATTTCATCTTCTCAATCTGAGTCTTTAACTCAGCAAATTCTGCTGTCTGAGCCCCAACACCTTTACTGAAAGAAACTTTCAGCTCTTCCATTGCTTGCTGATGGGAGGCGATTGCAGATTCCAGCTTGGACTTCCACAGCTCTATCACGTCAGAATTCTCCTTGTTGGCGTGGTCAAGCTTGGTTTTCAAGGATTCATTTTCTTTTGCCATTTTCTCATTTGAAGCTGAAAGGGTCTTGATCTCTTTCTGCAAGGCTTCCTCACTAAGGCCAAACTTCTCCTTCAGCGAGTTCATCTCATTCTGATGTTCTTTGCCAGCTGCTGCCATTTTTTCTTGCAAAGAACTGATTTCTTGTAGCAAGGAGAGAGAAGTGTCCACGTCGTCGATGTGCTTGCTGGAATCCAACCTCCCTCGGAGCTCAGCCACTTCCTTCACCCTCAGTGCCAGGTCCCTCTCCAGCTCCATGATCCGGGACTTTTCCGACACTGTGGCCACCTATGATCAACAGCATTTTAAGAAAAGAAGAATTATAAAAGATATATTTCCATGCAAAGACACTCAGGCCTTGCTGAAAAACTTCCACCAAGCATTGCAAATTGCTTCAAAAAGGGAAAAATGTCCACACTCAAACTCTTACGTTGTCTATAAACAAAGAATTTACTAAAATTTGTTCTTCTGGTATTATCTAGAAATAACTTGCTAAAAAACTTATAAACCACCCTGATGGGTATTATCAAAGATTAACAAAATGTTCCTCAGAACCATTTCAAGGCAAACTGGAAAAGAATGGAAAACCTTGAGGTCTTTGCTGAAATAATTCCTTCCAAATTCATCTCACACCAGCTACAAGACCGTCAGAGAAAACGACAAACACATTTTGAACCAATAAATCCTCTGAAATCCCTTCTATACCTGCTCATTCTCTCTGAAGAAATGTCCTCACACTATCTGAGCTTTTCACTGACTGTTGGAGAAGTATTTGCTACAGCAAAGCTCCCAGAATTAATTCTAATTAGGAAGTTACTGCTTTGACCTCCTGGAAAAGATATTACTTACCCGCAGCTGCTCTTCAAAAGTACTTATTACACATTAAATTGTTGGTTTTATATTCATCCTGGGTTTTTTTATTCATCCCACCTGAACTTCAAGAAAAACCCCATGTGTGAGCATGAATATATGTGAGTGTGTAAATATATTTCTCTTTAAGAATTGACGTGTGCTGAACTTCTGACTTGGTACAAAGTATGTCAGTAATATTCTGACAGGCAGCAGGTATTAATTACCAGGATAGCCATTAAAATATGATTATATATATATATATAATATTGTATATTATATCATTGGTGGGAAAAAAAGAGCTAAAAAGCCACTGCAAACCATGATTTAGCAAAGCAAGTAGTGCAGCAGCTACAGAAACCAAGCCTCAAATACTCAGTTTGTGTTAAAAGGACTGGTGTGTTCAGTCTTATGTTTTTTGGGTTTAATGAACTCTGCTAATTTTTAAAATGAGCTACTGAATGTTCCTTTCTGTTAACTCAGGGTCCCATCCTGCTACTTTTGGATCCAAGGATTACTTTTGCAGTGTGAAGACATCTTACCTGAGTTCTTCAACGAGTCACACGTCCAGGCATACACTCACACCCCATGGAAGCTCAAAATTAATCTAATTTTTTACAGTGTTCCAGCTCTGGCTACAGCAGGAGCAAGGACCTGTTCCAGCACGTGTCACCCTCGGCATTGTGCCATCAGAAATCTTCCACAACACAGATCAGGCTCGTTATTCAAACAGGGAAAACCATTACCCTAGTGTCTTCTAACTCCCTCTGAAGTTTGTCAGCTTTGGTCTTTTCAAAGAGCAGGCTCTGTTCAAGCTCCTTAATGCGGGCATGCTCCAGTTTGGTCTGCGTCTGTTAGTGGAGAGGGAGAGGAAGAGAACACAACGGTGCCACCATCACATGCCAGCACAAGAGGAGGAGCCACATGCAGGCCGTGCTGCCAGAGCCTTCTAACAGGTGAGCAGAGAGGATGCAAGGGGGGGAAATGGACAGGGAAATGCTATGGATGAGGAGGATGGGCTGAAGGTGTGGATGGATGGGCGCGTAAAAATGAAATCAAATGTGTAAAACAAATAAATAAATGAATGAATAGCAAACTGAGAAATGTGAACAAAAAAAAGTTTCATGCAGCTGAGTAGAAGTTATTTATCAGTACATGAAGTTTTCAGCACAAATTAGAATAGTTATGTCAAAAATATATATATATGTGCATATATATCTTCCTCTTCTAACAGGATGGTAAGTCCCTTTCCTTGTCATCCCGCTACCTTCTTCCTTTCATGTGTTTGGCTGATTTTATAAAAAAATTACTTACTAACAGAGGGACAAAAACTCTCCACTGAAGCTCATGTAACAAATCAAAATTTTAACTTTCTTCTTTTGATAGTAGCTGTCTCTAAGTCTCAGCCATAAAAATGCTTCTGGCCAAGACCTGGGAACATGAGGGTTCCTTTGTCACTATGGTTTGAATTATCTGAACAGAAATAGAAAGAGAATGGTTATCTGTAACTCCAAAACACTCCTCTTTTATCCCCTCTTCTCTTTCAGGAAGAACACAAGCAACAAGATTCCTCAAAAACAGATAAAAAAGTGAATCAAGTGAATCAGCCTGGTTGCTCTGCAGTTACCAATGTCTAAAAATATTGAAGAATATGTGGAAGTAAGAAAAGAGTAAGATCTTTGGAATTCTAACATGTTCCTAAAAAGAAGCAGGACAGATGGACCCAAGTGAGCAGGTACCTCCTGCCTTTTGCTCACAAACAATTTTTAGCAAGAACACAGAATATTTGATATTCTGGCTTGATATTAAAATACTCCCTGAGGTGTGCAAGAGAGCCTGAAGTTTGGGATATGCAGGGAAAGTCTAGCAGGTAATTCAAACCTGACCTGCACCTCTGGAGTAGGGGAGAGAAAAAAATGAAAGAGAAATAAGAAGATGGGGATGAGCTTCTTGTCTACTTCTCCAAACGCAGGATTCCTTCTGGCAGCAGCAAGTTCTTCCTTCCCAAAAGCATCCAGACATCCAAGGGGGTTAATTTTTTAAGTACTTGAAAACAGTTGGCCGTGATACTTTGGAGTTCCTTGGTCCACAGACACTTAAAAGTCGCTCCTTAGATTTGTTGATGTTTTAATTCTGTAGCAGGTCTGTTTCTCTCTCAGTGGAAGATCTTCAGGGTGTAAATGGGCAAAAATGCTCCACAAGAACACAGATTACTCTTTTTCCTGCCCATAGCCTTTGAAATGGAATTAAGTATTCTAAGGGAAATAATATTTAATAAGTGGCTACAGTTTTCTCTCTGGCACAGTTCAGTATTTTAGTTCTGATCCACAACCAAATTGTAAGTCTGAAAAACAATCTGCTTTAAAAGCTGGAAGTTCAAACCTTACTTGCTCTAATCCACAAGGGGATCTACTAAAACCCAAGAAATCCCAAACCTCATGGTTACAGAATTCCCTGTGTGCCTTTGGAATATGCAACCTTAAGTTTTTTTATGCTACATAAAACCCAAACTCTTGATCATTAATTTTACAGACAGTGCTTTACTGCTCCAAAGAGCAGACAGACCATCACTGATTACAGAGTTTTTTTAAATCCCATCTCTTATATACTACAAAGGCAATTAAGTTAAAATCCTGCCAAAATTGAAATAAAAGATTAAAGGAAGAATACTCCAGAAATCTTTACTTGACACCTTTTCCCCCATTTAGAGCATGAGAGATTATCCTTTAAACAAATCCGATTTCCAAGGGACAGGTTCCAGATTCTCCGAGGTAAAAATCACTGCAAAATTTTGAACTGCTCAAATTTCTCTGATGATGATGTAGAGAGAAATTCTTACTGATTATGGTTCTCTTTGAGGCAGCCCAGAACACAGAGAACTGAGAAGAGAGACAGTACTCCACAAAAAAAGAAAATAATTTGATTGTAAACCTTAAACTTGGATGGAAAGAAAAGCAGGAAAGAAAAAAACAGATAAAGCTAAAGGAATAATCTTCCCCTTCTCCAGAGCTTCCCAGTTAGGGAAGTGATGTGGAAATGGGATTTTTACTCTGCCTTGAACTTCCAAGAATTCCCCCTAACTTCAGAGGCCAGACATCAGCCTTTTCCAGCAGTTGTGTGTTCTGGCCATTCTTTCACTCCAGAATAAACCTGCCTGTGACATTCTCCATCAAACTGGGAAATTGTGCTCAGGCCACAAATCCTGACAATCAGTTCTAGGATGGGGCAAGATGCCCTCCAGTCCCTTCGTGCTGGGATACAATCACAGGACGCCACCGGGATCAGGGAGCCTGGAAACTCCTCTGGAAAGTGAAGATGTCCATTTTTAATGGAAAAGTCAGAACAGGGAAGTCAGGAGAAAAGATGGGATCAAAGAAGGAGTGCACAAAACAAGAAAAAGGAAGGGCACATGCAGATTTATTTCTAACGAAGCATCAGCCTGATGGGGAGACTGGAGGAGACCCAGATCCCTGAGGGATCTCTGCAAAGGGAACCCCTAAAGATGCACAGCAGGATCCAGCTCTAGTCTTGAGAATTTCTTGTGTCAGCTGGGGATGCAGCAGAGAAGGCAGCCTGGGATAAATTTACCTTTAAAATTCCACTATTCTGAGTTGGAGAAGCAAGAGGGCTCCTTAAGCATCTTGCAAGGCCATTTCTGTTATCAAGTAACACATTTTTCCTACATAATTTGAAGAGGAGCTACATGAAGATACAGTAAAATCAGGCAGCTTTGCAAAATAATTGTTCAGATGGTTTTAAACATCTCTCCCCTTAGCATTTCATACAGAAAAAAGGAAACAAATAGGGGAAGATGAAGAACAGACAGATTTTTTTCCCCTCAGAAAAACTGTCATCTATTCAACAGCAGCAGGATCTCATAGGAGAGCAGGCAGGACTTTGTGAAGAAAACAGCTAAAATCCTACATTTAAATTAAGATATCTTCAGGATGCTGGTCAGTCATTTCTACAAGCTCCTGGACTCTTCAGTGAGTTGCAAAGGTTTTTACCCTGAAGAATTCTAATGCCACACTGGCCCTGCCTGCAGTTAATGGGCATTACCAAGTTTAGTCATTACACACATTCTTTCCAAGAAATGTTGTAATTGCTCTGAAAGCAACATGCACACAAAATACCAGAGTCAATGTCTCAATAACAGATTATGCAGTTAGTGAATCAGTATAAGCATTTTCTGCACACAATCTGTTAACATGGGATGTCTCTGCACATTGAAGTGCCCTCTTACATTTTCTGGGTCTTCCGAAATCTGCCTCTTTCGCTATCAGTAAAATTAAAAAAACAAACAAACAAAATTGTTTCACCTACAGACTCAGCACTGCTATTCCAACATAAACAACAGGAGACATTTCATCAGCTTGAATTCACTTTAAACCCCCAAGTTAAGCAGCCTGACAAGCCAGAGTCTTTAGGGTGGTTTGCCATGACTATCAATTGATTTAACTGAAAATAGAAAACTAAAATATTTCCATGGATTAAACAATAAAAGGAGCATTCTATGAAGAGTCTAGATAGGTATCTTAAAATGAATGGAAGACTAAAATAAAAGAAATGTTATATGAAATGAGTATTTTTCATAAGGCTAGCACTTCAATCACAAATGCTTTAAAGCAACACAGTTAAATAAGTTGGTACATTATGTTGTGCAAGAAGTTCTAGTATCTTTCTGATTAGGCAGCAGAGTAGAGCAACTAAAAGTATCTTCCTTATTAATTGGAATTTTGGGATTAAAATTGGCAGTGCTCAAATACCTGAGAGCAATCCTTCCCTAAATGTTTTCTATTCTGTAGAATATCTTTCCATATTGTGCAATAACACACTGCGCTGTAGCCCAGCATTACAATTCTATGAATAATAGATAAAAGTTGCACACATGCATTGCTATTTAGATTTTATGTGCAAATTCTCAGGACAAAACACTCTCCATTACTCAACCTTCCCTAAGGGAAGCACAGGAATTACTCAAGAAATTGATCAAACAGGACAAGTCTTCAATATTCATTTTCAAAGGCATAAATATTTACTTGCAATTTTGTAACTTCAAAATTATTTTTTTTCTTAGTGGTTACTTTTAACAGCAAAAGGTAGAATTTTCTATGAATTAATTTAATTTCTCTAAATAACTGCAGCTGTTCTATAGCACAGCCTTTGCTAAAGTGTGTAATTGAATTTGGGGTGCAATCCTCCAATTTTGGAACAATTGCCTTACTAAAGGACTGCAGAAAATGAGTATCATTTTCACGTGATTGGACCAGGATTGCATCTTTTAATGATTCCTGCCTTTCTGTGCCCTCCTAGATATCCTTTTTACAAAGCTGGAGATATTTTACCTCTAGGTCTCCTTTGGTAATGGATTCTTCTTCCACACGGAACTGAAGGTCTTCAACTTTCCTGTGGGGACAACTCATTAAAATTCAGGTAATTTTGGAAGAAAATGCTTTCAAGCTCACTTTTCAAAAGTGGAAATCAGAATGACAGTGACAACATTCCCATTGTACCAGCAAACTGCCAGGAACATTAGAGGAGAAATGTCTCTCAGGAAGCATCAGAGGGAGGGAAAACTGCTGTCCTTGAAATACTACAGGTGCCAAAGCAAGGCTTCACTACTCCTGCAGCTCTGAAGAGGGTATTTTATATTAAAATCCTTTAAATCCTTATTGATTCTCCCCTTTTTTCACCCTTCTGGATGACCTGAGGTGACCTAAATCAGCAGCTTGATCTCACATTCTATATATTCTACCATTCATGTAGGAAACAGTAAGCACTGAGAAACATGTCTGGATTTGGGATGAACTGCATCACAAGGGGAGCCCAAGAAGAAGAGTAATTACATTAATGAGGACAGTTTGAGGTTACCTTTTCTCTTCCTCGAGCTGATTGAGGAGCTCCACTTTCTCCCTGTCAGCTGCCTCCACCATAGCTCGGAGCTGGTCCATTTTTGCTTCCATCTCCAGCACGTGCTAATAAGGAAAAGGAATAAAACCAAAATTTACTAAGCTTGGAAATCCAGGAATTTTTTCCAAGTATGTACCTGTACCTCACTAATCACAATTTGGTGAAGTGATGGGCCAAGCGACAGGAATGTTATCAAATACAGACATGATCAAAGACTGCAGTGAAGTTCAACAAAAATGAGTTAAATTCAGTAGATCTGGTATCTCATCAAGCCAAAGATCCCACAAAGGAGATCTCACAGGTATGGATTGTTTTACTTTCAGCACACCACCTCTTACTCCCAGCCCTTTGCAATAAGAAAAGCCCATTTTGGATGTTAAGTCCATTGTGTTAACTCTGTTTCAGAAGAACAATAACTCTCTTACCCGGTCGTGCCCATCGCGAACCAGAGCCAATTCCTGCTCTATCTCCCCGACGTGACTTGTTGCTTTTGCAACTTCTGCCCTCTCCAGGTCCCTTTCTGCCAGGAGCTGCTCAATGTGCTGCTGCTTCTCCTTCAGGGCCTCCTGGAGGGCTGTGGTGCCCGAAATTTTTCTTGCATACCGGGAAGATGTTTCTGTCAACTTCACAAAATAAATGCGTTAAAAATCATTCTGCACCAAGAGAAAGAAAATGGATGTAGTGGGTATCTCCAGACTCCACAAACACAGGGTTAGTAAAGCAAATGCTTTCTGTGACCTACTGTACCTTCTCCTTTTACACTTAAATGGCTTCATTTTCCAGAATTTCATAGTGGCCAATGGGTGTGGTCAGAGCCCTGTAAGGAGGAGCAGCCAGAGGAAGAGGCAGGAGGGATGAAGTGAAAATAAAAGGCCTCAATTGAAGGTGTAGACTCACACAAAGGCTGGCTCAGGATGTTCCTAAGCATGACGTAACAGCTTAGAAATTTGCCTTAAGTATTAAATGAGAATGACAGCTCACCTCATTTTTAAAAAAGCCCCAAAGCACAAAGACTTGCTGTTCTACCCTTTAGCTCTGTCCTATCACCCAAAACCAGGAGTATGATCCTTCCAGAGATCAAAACACTGAATAGCTGCCACAGCCAGCCTGGAAAGCTGGCACTGGCCAACACCCCCAGCTGAGAGCACAGCACGGGATTATTCTCCTGTCAGCACAGACACCTCCCCTTCACTGCTGCACAATCCCTGCCCCAGCTCCTCCCAGCCTGGGTCCCACCCTGCACACTCTGCAATCCACTGCAAGAATAAACCAGACAATCCACCAGACAGAATAAACCACCTTCACCCTGATGCTTAATTGGCTGTTTCAGACCCTCGCAGTTTCCAGAAGAAATCCCATTCCAGAGTGTATTACTTTCTAACAGTTTTAGGTCTTCAAATCACCCTTCACTCTCAATTGCAAAACAAATTCAAAACTCCTCAGAGAAACATAGCTTCCTTCAGACTCAGATGTCAGTTGCATCAGGCAGACCCTTAAATCACTGGATCACCAACTCTGACAGCTGCTTTTATTACACAGGAAAAAGAAAATAGAAACAGCTTTGAACAACTGATCAGTCAATGTAAGAGTCCAGAAATTCCCAGAAAAGTTTTAGTTTTCCTAGAAAATGAAGCAAGAAAAGTCTTCTGGGTCAAAACTGATTACAGGAAATCTTGTCTCCCCAGCAGCTTAACTTTTTCTTTAAAAGTCCCAGAATTATTTAGACAATCCTTTTAACTTGGATGGCCACCAAATGTTCACACTGCCTAAGAAAAAGAGTAAGAAGAAAGCTGGAATTTTAATTCCAGAAATAATGGATTACAGCAGCTTTGTATTTTATGGCCTAAATCATGCAAAATCCCTGGGACACAACAAAATAGGCAAACACATTTTAGACATTTTCAAGGTGTAACTTTGGGGATCACAGCACATGGGATAAAGCTTCATGTGTTAGTGCTGTGATCCCAAACTAGAGGGCACTCTGCAGCTGCAAGTGCAACTTCCATAATGGATAAAGTAATGAAGTCCCACTGTTTGTGCCAAATAAAAATCCTTTTTGTGGTCAGGTATTAACCCTGGTGCCCTGACCGACTGCTGACCTCTGTTAATCTGCTTCAGTCCTGCAGGACCAGGGTAAGTCACCTCTCTGGGCACCTGCTGGTCAGTGGGACAGTGGGACAGGGAACCTGCTCCACATCACTGGGAGTCAATTCTTCCTAATTAGATCTATCTATGGACTGTGGGTTAAAAAAAAAAAAAAAAAAAAAAAAAAAAGGTAAAAACTAGGGTGACTGTGGAAAAATCCAATTATTTCTATGTTTCTATTTCAATTGCCATAAAAGAGATTTCTCAAAATTCAGCCTTCCCAGATTTCCGTTTTACTGCTGCAACCAAAGATTAGGACATTTATGTAACAGAGCAACTTCAAAAGAATCCATAGTAAGTGTATTAGGTGGAATTAGTACTGTGTTAGATTTCACCTGAGCCACTGCACTTGGCAACACTCAGCCTTTATGAATTCATAGGATTAAAACCAAATCTAAAAGAAAAGAAAGAGGCTTCTTGTCAGAGACTTGGAAATTACTCCTGCTGCATTTCTCAGCTGACTCATCTCTTGAACAGCAAAAGGAAATTTTGAGCATTTTAGCAAACATGAAACTTCCTGCTTAAATAAAATCAGTGTGATCTCTGGAAGCTTCAGCGCACACAAGATCCTCAGAAAACAAATTAAATGGAGATTGCAGCCAGAGAAATTTGTGTGTGTCCTAAGCCCCTTTCTTATTGCAATCACTCTGTTAGCCTGAATTAAATATTCAAATATTCAGCTGCTCTCCAGGGCTAGCTAAGATTTCCTTCCCTCATGCATGCTTCGAATGAAGAAGAGCACCATGAAACGTGCAGCGTGCTCTGCCCACGATCCGCTCTGGCCTCGGCTGACGCAAAGCGAGCTCGGGCGGGCCTGGGGCTGGGAAGGGGAATCATGCCAAGGAAAAAGCAGCTTACGAGTCCTGTGCGGCTGGGCTTGCTGCTTACGGAGGAGGCCACCGAGCTCAGCGAGCTCAGGGAGGAGGCGCTGGGGCTGCGCTTCAGGGCTGTGGGCGTGGGCAGCACCTTGCGCACCGCGGGCTTGGCCTTGGCCGGCGTCGTGGAGGGGAAGCCGATCTTGGTCACCTTGTGCACTGGGGCGAACAGGCCGTACTTGGGCTGGCACTGGAAATACCTTCCAAGGGCAAAGCAAGCAGAGGAGAGCAGGAATTAACTTCTTTTCATGTACATGGGCTGGGTTCATGGAGAATTCTAGATCAGGAGTATCATCCACGTTGGACCGCAATTCTATTTAACACTAGGTTTGGAAAAGGGACTTTGAGAGGCTGAAACAGCATGATCACATCAAACTTTGGAAATTCAGAGTTAACACTACAGCTCTAGTTCCTAAAAAATTCCATTCAGATTCAGTTTTATATCCACAGCTTTCCCCTTCATCACATTCCTCTAAGCTGCCAACAGATGTGATGGCTGACAGTTAAAAATAGAAATCAGATTTTAATTAAATCAAGTAGTTTTATATTTTATTACATACATACCATTTATGCATATTTGATGATACAGAACACATATCTTTGGTTAAATATAGACAAAAGCCACTTATAATTTTAAGCTGTGATCACCTATGTTAAGGTGAGACAATCTTTGTAAATCCTATTTTTAATGAGGTAAAAGACTATTCCTTATGGCAAATGAGAATGAAAGTTAAATTGTAATGCTATTTAATGCCTTCTGATTGAGACTCATTGGAGGGAGCAGCTACACTGCTCCCATCTCTACCAGGAGGCAACTGCTGGAACAGGAGCTTCCAGCTCCTGGGATGCTGGAAGATTTCCCTTAACTACAACCACTGGATATCCAGAGATTTTCATAACTGAGCATTCCTTCCAAGCTGAGAAATCAAACAGGCATTTGAAAGAAGGAAACTGTGTTTTCCATTACCAGGCTATGAATAAAATTCACATGGGAGGAGAGATCAGCTCATCCCACGAATGTGAGAGAAGTGTTGGCATGAGAGAATTCAAACCATTGCACACCAACCCTCCCCACCACCAGCAGACGAGGCAGGTTTAGAGCCTCCCTCCTGATTAAAAATTTCATGGCAGATATAGAAACCCAGAAGAGAATACAGATAAAAATCTCATAAAGTAAATGTGGGAACGGACTGACCTCGTGCCAGCAACAGCTCCATCATTCTTTCCCAGGGGTTCGTCCAGCTCTACTCCACACCATTCTCCTTTAGCAAAGTCAGTTTCTCCCAAAAAACGCACCACTCCAGCTTTTGTTCCTCCAACCTAAAGCAGTAATGCATTTAATGCATTCCCGAAATAAAATAACAAATTCAGTGAAAAAGCTTTTGGCATAACCATGTTCACAAAGCACACAAATGACATAACCAGTTCTTATTTCAAACTATGCAATTTTTTGTCTATGAGTTTGTTTTAATGTTGAACAAATACTGACCTTCATAACCAAAAATATATTTAGCAAGACACAGTATAACCAATGTTCTGAATGCAATAGATTTTGCAGAGTTTCACATAAATTTCTACCAGCAGAATAGGATTTATAAGGTCTGTTTATTTCTTATTCTAATTCTGTGAAGAAAAATAAAAGAAATTAAATGAGGAAAAAATCCTTTCATATTTTCTCCAAGGAATAATTCAGATAAACTACATAGTACAGCCCTCTTGTATTTAAAAGAACTGATATAAAGCATGATACAGAGCACTTGGAAAAACTGTAGATATAACTAGCTATTTAAATCCTTGGGGAGGGGAGAACCATTTTATCTTTCCTTCACTTTCAAGAATAAAAAAACCCCAGCCCAAACACTCCTAAATGAAAGCCTAGAAAGCAGTGGCTTTCAAACGTATAATATTAAATATTTACAGCCACTCCAATTACTTGCAATGTCTGTGAGGTACAGCTTTTCCTAATACCCAGGGGATGGAAGAATTAAATTAAGCGAAGAAGGAAAAGGTGTTGTGTGGCTGACACTTGCCAGGAAGAGCAACAGGATTCCTGCAGCTCAGGAAGACAATATGTTGTGCCCTAAATTTGTGCAAATCTGTTCAGCCTGCATCCAGCATTGTGAGAACAGAGACATGGTGATGGAAACCTCTTCAAGAGATTCACAGAATTCCACATGGAAAAAGCAGCAATGGTTTGAAAATGTCCACCTGTGTTTTCCAGCACACGTTGTACAACCACGAATATTGTGAGGCCTTGGCAGAGAGCTTGAATGAAACCTCCTATTAAAGACTATGATTCTCCTTTTTTAATCAACTAAAATGTAAATTAGTATTTCATTTAATTTTTACAGCAGACATTCTATTTCTTGGGGGAACTTCCCAGGATTACTAGAGAACAGTGAGCTCCTCGTGCCGTAAATTAAGGTGCATGATCACAGCACATGAGAGAATTCACATTATTCCAGTCGGGAAGAGCTCACTCATGAGGTCACCTGTGAGGAACTGAGGACTTTACATGTCCACAAAGTCCCAAGTCAGTGCCCAGGAGCTGCCACACACATTTGTGCTCCAGCATCTGGCAAGATGAGGCTTCAGCTGATGAGAAAAAATAGTCCTAATCCACACAAACCTCAGAAAAACAGGGAGAATAATGAACCTGTTTTGATATTATTCAAGTGAGAAAGGGGGCAGAGGCATCTCTTGTCCACATTTAAGGTGGCAGCCCCTTCTCTGCCATTAGAAGCAATTCTGGAACAACTGCAGGTCACCTTCAGATCCTGGCAAATTATTACTCTCCATGGAATAAAAACACACAAAGTTTACAGTTATCATGACTCAGCCTAATATAGTAACTCTGGTATTTGGTGCTCTTGGCAGAGAACACACAAACAAGCACTAGGACTGGCTTAGAAAAAAAGAATTGTAACCACCAAGAGTTACAGAGAATCCAGATCTCTGGCACAGAGGTGAGAAGGGAATACATAACACTAATGAAGTATTTTCCCTTAAATTAAGAGATATGTTATTCACCCTCAGACATTAGCTACTTTTTCTAGAGGGTAAATATCTTAGGTACAAACATAAAAATAAATTTTAGCTGCACTATCAATCCACAAGTTCTCCTCCTTAATCCTTTTCTAGCAAGTTTAGGTAGGGGTTTTTGTCTCTTTAGGTTTGTCTTGTTTTGTTTGGCAGTTTTTCTTTACAGATAAATTTGGATCATATGTTTAAATGAAAAGACTGTTCTGGTTAGAAGCTGTTTCCCCACTCAATTTTGTTCTGTTTTCTACATGAAAAAACAGAGTTAAATCAAAAGAGGCTCTAGAAACCCATTTAAGGAATTAGACAGGAAAACTAGAACAATGGCCTAGATAAGGAGCATCCCTTCAAAGACAAGAGTCAGATTTGGGGCTGCACAGAGGGATTCCTCAGTTGAACCCATGAGCCAGGCAATGGAATTGTTTTCCTGTTTTGTGGTGTGTGTTTGTGTCCATGGTAATTTTTTAAAACAAACCCAAATTACCTAAACACAGCCACCCACCACCTTCCCATAGGAAGGTGAGTGAGGTAAGTGAGGTAAGAGGTGTCTGAAGCACTGTGGTGGAACAGAACAACTCCAAGCAAGGATTCCTAGGGACAGGAAAAACTTCTGCAATCTGTTCCCTCCAACTCACACAGCAAATCAACCTCTAGAGAAGTAATGCTGGCTCTGGGATAACACAGATGAAACATGGGCGCAGAATATTCTTCCTTTTCTGTTTCATACCTTGGCCCTGCTCATCTTCCATGTTTATGTAAAGAATGTGAAGGGTTTATTTTGAAGAGACCACATTCAAACCACAATCTGGCAGACACAACCTGAAGGAATCTGGCAGTGCCCAGAGCCCCCTGGACCTGCTCCAGCCCCTGCAGTGCTCGTGACCCACGGCCTGGTGGGAGCCAGCAAATGCAGGAATTCAGATCCCAGAACAGATGGGGCTGCTCAACACGAGATTCCCGGGAGAAGCAGCAAAGTGACTCGTCTTGTAACCATGGTACCTGGGTTATTTTAAACAGGACTCAAGGGAGAACGCCAAAGAATTCCTGCTTTTTACCAAAGCCAGTCCAGCTTCTTTGAATAACCAGCTACTACATCTCTCTGCACATTCTGTGTGTCCTTGCAAGAGCAGGCATTGGAGTACCCTGTGGCTGTAAAGTGCTCAGAGAATCAGTGAAGGTCTATATGAGCAGTTTTGCTCTATTTTAAGCAAAAGCTTCCTAAATTTCAGCTTTAAAGTCAGGTCAGCCCTCGTTTATAAAGCCTGAGACAAGTGAAGGCTTCCAATCATTCACAGACATCTCCCACAAAAAGAGTATTTATCTCCAGCTGGAATTAGTATCTGCAAGTGACAACACCTGCCTTGAGAAGATAATAATAATAATAATAATAATAATAATAATAATAATAATAATAATAATAATAATAATAATAATAATTTATTTC